GTAAGGTTATGTTTCAGACCCACTCTGGATGTAACTAGTTGCACGAATAACCACTACTAGCGACACAGTCGCTGGTGAGCCGTAGGGGTTTCCGTAAATATCAATGCCATTTGCGAGTTGCTATCAGAGTTCAAGGGTACCAGCGATGTCTACTGGCGATGGGAAAAACAATTTAAATTGTTATGTACGACATACGAGTTGGACGATCGAGCTGCCAGAATTCTAGTCGGCATGAAGTTAAAGGACCAGGCACTGAAATGGTTCCATTCTAAGCCAGAACACCTGGAGATTTCCGTCGAAGAGTTGCTCGAGGAGATGAGGAAGATGTTCGATCATTAACCGGCCAGGATAATACTCAAAAGAAATTTCGAGAAACGTGTTTGGCAAGTGGCTGAGACATTTAGTGAGTATTTCCAAGGTGACGTTGGCGAATCAGGTGCCAATTGAAGAAGAAGAGATTGTCGACTATCTAATTGGGGGCATATCCGATGTGCATCTGAGGAATCAAGCAAAGATTCAGCGGTTTCCTACCAAAGAAGCGTTACTAGGAGCGTTCGAGCAAGTTCGGCTTGAGCCTGAAGGAAAAGGACGATCGCAAAAAGGGAACGATCATGCGAAAAAAGAGGCGAGCGACGGTGCGGTGAAGGAGAAGTCGCAGCAAGCAAAAAAAGTGCGGTGCTACAATTGCAACGAGTTCGGACATAAAGGTCGAGATTATCAGCAGCCGAAACGTGAGCGAGGTTCCTGCTTTAATTGTGGCAAGGCAGATCATCAAATTAAAGACTGTCTACAAAAGGTTAAGAAGAACGCGGCCAAAGAGAAACCACGGGACGCGACGAAGGGATCGACGGAAACCGAAGCGAAGCAAATCGGAGTCGTAGAAGAACATATTTTTAGAGACTTGCGACATAAGTTTGTGAGTATTGAGCTATAGCTAGAACTGATCCTGCGTACGTTGTTAGATTCGGGAAGTCCGATTAGTTTTATAAAAGAATCTTTTGTACCGGTAAAATCAGTGACGCGAGTGAATAATAAGAATAATAAATATATCGGATTGAATAAGAGCCCGTTAGAGATTAGCGGAGTAGTAAACGCGACCGTAGAATTCGAAGGCGAAAATTTAAGTGGATTACTTTTACGCGTAGTGCCAGATTCATCCATGCAAGCTCCGGTTGTTATCGGTAGAGACGCGTGGAATATTTTGGGATTAAACGGTTAGTCGCGAAAAGAATGCGAGTGAAAAGCGCGAGAAAGAGAACGAGCGCGTAGATTTTCTTGAAACAGATGCGTGTGAGATTTTAAATATAAGCGCGAGAGTATTAGCGGTAGACGAGGTGGATGCATTAAATATAAGCGAGGAAACTGCGCCTGAGTGGCATGAGCGTTTAAAGGAGTTGTTTAGAAACGAATATTTGCTAGCGGAACGACCGCCTACTCCGAAAGTGCATACGGAAATTAAACTTAAACTTAAGAAACATACCCCATTCCATTTTGCACCACGTAGACTATCTTATCGCGAGCGTGCGCAAGTAGAGAAAATAATCGAAGAATTGAAATCCAAGGGAATTATTAGACCGAGTAAATTACAATACGCTTCACGAATAGTATTAGTTCCAAAGAAATCGGGCGAAATAAGGATGTGTATAGACGATCGGTTTTTAAATGCGCTAACTGAACGAGTAAATCATCCTATTCCGGTTATTGAGAAAGTAGTAGAGTCAATAAATGACAAGTATTTTAGTTTGGTAGACCTTAAAGACAGATTTTACCACATTGACGTTGCAGAAGAAAGTATTCCATACACAGCATTCATTACCCCGTTAGGGCAATTTGAGTTTACTAAGATGCCGTTTGGGCTGACGACACCCATGACGTTTCAGGAACATGTAGAGAAGGTTATGGACGAATTGGTTCGATCAGGTGACGTGCAACTTTACCTGGATGACTTTTTTATAGCAACGCGAACTTTAGAGCGACATTTAGAGGTGCTAAAAATACTTTTTCAAACATTAGTAGAAAATCGGTTAGAATTACGGATAGACAAGTGCAAGTTTCTGTATACCGAAATAGACTTTTTGGGTTACATTGTGACAGGAGACGGAATCCGCCCTATAGTGAGTCGGGAATAGAAGCAGTAAAGACTTATTCTGTACCGATGGATGTTCGAGGAGTTCAAAGATTTTTAGGAATGTGTGCGTATTTTCGTAAATTTGTAAAAGACTTCTCGATAATTGCAAAACCGTTGTATAATTTATTGCGAAAAGATGCTGTATTCAAATTCGGTAACGAACAAATGGAGGCATTTGAAACTTTAAAGAACGAACTGATTAAATCATCTGTTTTGGCATTGTATAATCCAGTAGATGAAACAGAATTGCATTGTGATGCTAGTTCGGCTGGTTTCGGAGCGGCCTTATTGCAAAAGAAGGAAGATGGAAAATTCCATCCAGTGTTTTATTACTCAAAGCGAGCTACAGAGGTCGAAAGTAAGTATCACAGCTTCGAGTTGGAGACATTAGCTATCGTTTACGCGTTTAGAAAATTCCGAATATATTTGCACGGTATAAGATTTAAAGTAGTTACGGATTGTAATTCCTTAATACAGACGTTAAAGAAGAAAGACATAAACTCGCGTATAGCCAGATGGGCTTTAGAGATGCAAGATTTCGATTATTATACCGAACATCGAGCGGGAACAAAGATGCCTCATGTTGATGCATTGAGTAGAGTGTACGAAGTACTCGTAGTCGAGAATAATTCATTCGAGGCGAACTGACGATTATGTCAAACATTAGATCCGAAAATTCGTGAGATCTGAGAAAAATTAGAGAAATCAGAAGATCGGTACTATAAGATGAGAGACGGTTTAGTTTATCGTAAGTGGGGACAAAGAATCTTGTTTTATGTACCACATGGAATGGAATACGAGATTATGCATCGTTATAATGAGTTAGGTCATTTTGCGACAGGAAAAACATGTGATATTATAATGCAAAGCTATTGGTTTCCGAAACTGCGTGAGAAAGTAGATCAGTTTACAATAACTTACACAGCTCGGATTACTTTGACCTTGACATATGTTGTCAAGAACATAATACTGAGTAACTTTTCCTTATAACTTAGTCGGCGGTCGCTGGTTATTAAAAAGTTATAAACAAAAAAAGTTTGAAAAATATAGCAGCTATTTTGAGTATTGGAAAGCATAAATGACTAATATATATGTCGAAATAGTTCACGCATACATTTTTCACGCGAACCGAGGTTCACCTACACCCCCCCCCCGCTTTCGGGGGAGGTGCGGTAGCCCCGAAATAGTTCACGCATATACTTTTCACGCGAACCGAGGTTCACCCACACCCCCCCCCCTGCTTTCGGGGGAGGTGCGGTAGCCCCGAAATAGTTTACGCATGGGTTAGTTGACGCGCTTTAAATAATTAAATACTGTTAAAGCGCGTCATCTAACCTATGTAGATTAGTGACGCGCTTTAAACAGTTAAATACTTGTAAAGCGCGTCATCTAACCTACATATTTTCCAAACTTTTTTTGTTAATAACTTTTTAACGAATAACGAGCAACGGCTAAAACCTTCTGAAGGTCACTCGGGGTCATGACCTTGACAACACATATCAAGTTTATTGAAATCGGTGAGGTCGCCAAACTTTTTTTTGTTAATAACTTTTTAATAAAAAGCGACTGCCGAATAAGTTATGAGGAAAAGTTACTCAGTATTATGTCCTTGACAACATATGTCAAGGTCAAAGTAATCCGAGCTGTGTAAGTTATTGTAAACTTTTACCGAAAGAACATGTGTTCTTAGTAGTAGATGCGTTTACGAAGTTCGTGAAATTGTATGCGGTAAAATCGACTTCGAGCGCCGAAACGATTAAATGTTTACAGGAGTATTTCCGAGGCATAGCAGGCCAAAGCTTTTAATATCTGACCGAGGTACTGCATTTACCTCTCGAGAGTTCGAAGACTTTTTAACAAAACAGAACGTGAAACATGTAAAGGTGGCCACAGGATCACCTACTGAGGCTAATGGTCAAGTTGAGCGATACAATCGAGTGTTAGCGTCCGCTCTAGGAAAATTGAGTGACGAGGAAAGTTGGCCTAAAGCATTAAATGAGATCGAGTTTGCTTTAAACAATACGTTTTGTAAGTCAACGGGAGCAATACCAAGCGTCTTATTGTTTGGGACAGAGCAACGCGGAAAAATTATAGATTATTATGTTAAAGAAAACATGTTAGAAGAAAACTGTGTTAGCGAGCGTAATTTAACTGAGATTCGTGATAAAGCGGCTGAGCAGATTGCGAAAGGTCAGTCGTATAATGAGCAATATATAAACCAAAGACGAAAACCTGCGAATGAGTATGAGGAAGGCGCGATTTTGTTGTAGTGCAAAACTTTGATTCAACCGTAGGAATATCTAATAAGCTATAACCGGCGTATAAGGATCCGTATTGCGTAAAAAAGCGTCTACGAAATAATCGTTATATATTAAGCGATGTCGAGGGACACTAGCTCTCTCAGCGACCGTACCAAGGTGTATGGGAAAGCGCAAATATGAAGCCCTGGCGTAGAGACGATCCCGTAGAGGAAGTAGAAGAAGACGGCCGAGGCGGCCTTGTAGTCAGGACGGCCGAAGCTGTAAGGCAGGAGGAGGTAGAGCAAGGAGATTTGAAAGACGCGGGATTAGAATCGGAACTGTAACGCGCAGATAGGTAGACGCGAGCGGGAAGCGATGCGAAATTGTTAAAAAAAGCGAAGGAAGAGAGTCGAGAACAGTCTTGCGTAGGGAGTGATCGAATGAAGAGGCGTTTTGAAATAAAGAGAGAGTTTTCTATTACGACGAGTCGATTCACTACCCTTTTGTTACTATAATAATCACTCGCGCGGAGCCACGCAAGTAAGATAATATATTTATCACTTCCTGAAAAATAAAAGTAGAATTAAATTAGTGAAAAAGTTACTTATAAATTATAACGCGGCAAACTATATAATGTTTTTTTCTTTCCTTACGGACGTTTGCGAATCTGAACCACTCCATTACAAAGTGTTCAAAATCTTTTTCTGTATTCCAAGGGAATATTGCTCTAAAAGCTTCTGGAATAAGAAAAATTCAATACAGTTTATTGTTAGATGAAAGAAATAAATAATGTTAATTTAACTTTAAGCAATTAAAACTTATAATAATTATTGAAATAACACAAAAGTTTCCGGAATAGTTTACATATATACTATAAATCGATCAAAAGTATTAGTTTATGGATATATATTTTTCTTTTATTTCGTAAGAATTTTTAATGTGTATGTGTGTCCTGCTTTTTAACGATGATTGCCACCAAAAAATAGGAGACAATTTTAATAAATCCTGAGACATAAAACATAGCATTTAATACTGCACGTAATATATACATCTCTTACAAAATTACTTACTTTTAATGCTCAGAATTGTGTGCGTATCTCCAATTTTATAATTATTTTTTTGGCCAGTCCATGAACACATGGAGGCTAAGTCATCAGAAAATGTAGCACTCAAACTTCTTCTAATAAAATCCTTTTCATGTTTCCCTCCAATTAACATAACCTTGTTCACCTGAAAAATTTATACTTGTAATTCTATATAATGCAGTTTATTATTATAAATTGCAAAGAAAATAATTCAGAAGACTTTTAAAATATAATAACACATATTATAGAATATTATAGAACATATTAAAGGACATATATTATAGATATAAGTTTGTAAGATTAAGAGTCAGAGTAACCATTTTTGGTTTTGGACGTATTGAGTGCTCCTCCTCAAGATTCTATTTGATCATTTTATACATAAAACATACAGTTGAATATATTATAGAGATTAATACAAATACATTTTTATTTTTGAAGGACATACCATATTTGAAAACTTTACTGACAAAATTCTACCTTCTTTTAGAAAGTTTACATATATCGTATTGGTTGCATAGAATTACAAATGCTTTCACATAATAAAAATAGGTGTAAATCAATTAGAGCATTTGCTCAATATATCACAAAAATGATTTAAAAATTTTGAAGTAAAGATTTCGAGCTGTCAGTGTAAATATTTATCTGTTACAAAAATTGTACAACTTTTATATATTAATTACCAGTATGTTTGCTCTGTTAAAGAAAATTGTAAAAAAATATTACTGTACCATTTTCATTAAATTTAAAAGCTTAAAAATATATGAAAAGTTTGCAAAAAGATTTTTATATATAAATACTTAAGCTTTCTGCTAAATATGGTAAAACAAAGCAACACACATTTATATATAGAACATCTATATGCATAAAAGACTTGAACAATGTAGTGTGAATGCGTTAGTACTTATTTGATATGACGATGATTTTGTCTGTATGTTACTGATACTTTTAGAGTTTTTCATCTATTTTTTCATCTAATAAATTATCAAAAACAAAAAATATATGCATATGTTACGCCACAATCAAAATAACTATAAACATAGTATATACTATAGATAATGCGCAATTACTATCTTTGCTATAGGCACTACATTGAAAATAATACCAAAAAATCGGTAAAAATTACAAGTCCTGGTGATCTCTTTGTCGACTTTAAATTGCAAATATTATATTTACTACTCTTGGAGAGAAAGCGAGAAAGAGGGAGAGAAAAGAGAGGGAGAGAGAGAGAGAGGGAGGGAGAGGAGATATCTCTTACAGTCTTTTCTCTTAATTCTTAAATTTTCAAAGTCTGATTTTATTGTGTAAATTTATATCTACTACGATTATGTAACTACTAACCGGAAATGTTATTTGTAAATGTTTATAGAATTAATTATAATTGTGATAAGCAGCTTTACTTACAACTTGCATGAAAGCTTCTTGATCAGTTTTTAGCATATCTTCAAAAGTCAGAAAATTGTCAATGAAAGATAAGGAGAGATATTGTCCAATCTTTGTATCTTGTACAATACTTTCCTTAGAATATTGCTCAGCCTCGCGGCCCGAGTACATCAAGAATATGTTCGATCCTTAATACTTTGGTATATTTCTTTTCTTCTGCAAATCTCTCTTTTATATAGGTCGAAAAATAGATCTTGAATCACCAGCTACCTATTTACACCACATATAAATAATTGAGTTCTTATAATTAATATGCAAGTTTTAGAATATAATAATTACTTACCCATATACAAATTTTGTATACAATTAAAAGCGCTCGACAGCACAAGCACATACGTACGTATATATGACACACTCACGCATCATACGTATGCAAGACAATGCGACTACAGTCTCCAGAACTAATATTACTGCTTCCGATTGGCTGTCGCAACAAGCGTGCGTCTGCTCGCATGATCTCGACGCGCTCAAACAGCTGAAAATAATCGGCAGTAAATTGCAAAAAAATAACAAATAATTCCACTATATAACTTCTACCGATACCCAAAGAACGTTATTTGTAGTTAACCTAAATTATAGGTTATGATCATCATATCAGCTACTATGGTTAATTGAGTTCTTATTATTAATATACAACTTTTAGAATATAATAGTTACTTACTTATATATAAATATACTGTAAATGAAGAGCACTCCGCACTGCTCGATTCACACGCGTGTATATACGCATGAATGAATGAATGAATGATGTTTGTTTATTGTGCCAAAATTACATAA